TTGACCCTTTTTCTACTAGTGCATATCACACTAAAGAATTTACACAAATTCATCGATGGAGCTGGCATCCCTTGGGTTAAGCTAATCTAGAGCACCTACTATAGTGATGGTTCTATATCTGGCAATAGCTTCGAGGGATCTTTTAAGGTAAAAATAACTAGATGTCGCATTGAAAAATGGGAAGTAAGTTTACTTCTGGTATTATTTATGGAAAGTGGATGCATGCACAACAGGCTTCTAAAACTCATCATTGATGCCACATCTCACAATTAACAAGTGTTGACTCTAGAATATTTAGAGGACCTATTTCATCTTCCCTTGTCGCAACAGAGACTTCCATGACTTTTAAGCCATGATGAAATTTGCATTCAAGTTGACATTGCTGATGTAGATGATAGTTGGAGCTACTTGTGGGATCACCTCATTTTCTTCAGCGGAAAAGCATATAAGGTCCTTATTGGACATCAATCTACCCCACTTCACTTCTTTTGGGTTTGGAACATCCCATGTCAATTGAAGCACAAAGTGATTCTCTCATGATTACTTCGTGATAGACTAAACACAAAGAATTTGTTGCACATGAAAAACTTCCACCACGTTCCTATGATTGTGCAACATCGAGTATCTAGTGAAGGGAACCTTGCAATCTGCTGCTAGGTGCTATAATTTTTATGCTCTAAAAAACTATAAATTCTCTGACCTTTGAAGCTGTGGTCACCAAATTAAAACTAGTAGTTCCTTTGTTCGTGGAGGTTATCATTTTAGTAGCCTAGAGTATTTGGATGGTCTGAAACCATAAGATTCTCTCAGAAGAACCATGTTGGTGTTTTCCAATTCAGTGCCAATGTTTTTTTTGGTTTATCACGAAAACCAATTTCCAGGGACCAATAAAATCAGAAAATATATTTCTAGAAGTTTTGAGATGAGAAGGAGCCAAGGGAACATGTGCCAGCACAGAGCCTCCCCTATGGCCCCTATGTGGCCCCACCAAACGACCTAAGGCTGGAACGCAAGAGCGCATGGTGCATGAGTGGGTCCCACATGGGGCGTCCACTTCCTCTTTCTTTCGCCGCCTTTATATACTCCCCAAAATCCTTAAAATAATGATCAAGAATATTTTTTCCACCGCCGCACCTCTTTGTACACGTGATCCAGTCTGGATGATTTTCCTCGATACTCTTTAAGAGGGGAGATCCTTCATTACGACCATCTACATCAACCTTGCTGCAATCATGTCCATGTGTAATAGTGCTCCTTTGGAGCTACCCTACATGCTTAGGCTTCATCCTTTGGAGCTACCACATATATGGTTCCATAGGTGCAGCTAGGTGGCAATGTCTACATTTTCTTCAATACAATAATCACATGAGCTACCCTACATGCTTAGGCTTCATCCGATGTAATTTTTTTGATGTGTTTGTTGCAATGTGAAGAATTTTCACTTTATGGTCAGATTTGTACATGTTTTATTCTTGGATTCATAAGAGTTCTTTGTTGCATAATTTATATACATATATACTCTCTGATCTATTAATGTTGCACTAGCCATGTTTACATGAATGGTCTTTAAGAGAGAGTTGTGTATGTTAGTTGAGTTCAATGAAAATGCTTGTATTGTGTTGTTTCAACTAAGAGTAAAAATATAGTTGCGTACTTGTCCCTTAAACGTTTGGTGAAGATAATATATTATAAACATCATGTCATCATGCTTAATGAAAATACTCTGTTTTACTTAATACCATTGAGATGCATGCTGGATAGAGGTCTTAGGATGGAGTGTTAGCCATAAATGCAGTTGGATTAACAGTCTATAGATGTATGGACGTGATGCCTATATGAAATTATGCCATGTATGATCATAGTTATAAAAAATAATAATTTAATCGATACGCAATTGTAATGTTTTCATCATGCCATGTTTTATGGAGAGATGCCACTACTGAAACTATGGATCCCGGTCCATACATCTCAACTGCTTTCAACTTTGATCAACACACTTTTATTTCCATTTTCAATTTGAACTTTTATTTCTTTGTTGCAATAATCACAAACACAAAATTGCATTAATCCTTGTAGCAAGCAAGGCTAGTGAAATTGACAATCTCACCGGTTTCATTGGGGGACCAAGACAAGTACTTTAATTGTGCGTGCCAGGTGCTGATCATTGACCATTTTTAACTACTCTTACTGTTTCGATAAACCTTAAGGCCATTGATAAACCTTGAGGGCATTGAAAGGGCACTTATACATTTAATTGTGTTTTTGGTGTTAATAGCGACATAATTATCGTTCTAATCATATGCTTAAGTTTATAAATTGTGCCACCCCATCAAGAAAAGAAGCCATTGATAGTTGGACCCCCCCCCCCTACGAAAAAAGCGGTTCAAGATGCTTTTTACACTTTATTTCAGTCTTAGGGCAGCTACACTATTAAGAGGGGGCGCACCTTGAAAGTACGACGGGAATCAACTATACATGTTTGAGATATATATGCACCCACATTTCTTCTAAATATCTGGTGGTGAAGTGTCTAAGTCTTGGTTGTCCTTCACTAGAATAGGGGATCCGGAACTTCCGGGATACGGCCCCTCCGGGCTAGCTTTTGGGGCCAGCGGGGATTGGCATTTAAGTGCAAACCTTGTGATGTGCCCAAAACCTACTCCAAAGGGTGCCTGGAGCATCTGGAGCTTGAAGCGGCGAAGCCTAACATAGATGTGCATTGCCAACTTTCAGCAAATTTGATCTCACCTAAAGGCAGATCCTTTACTACTCGCCCATATGTGCTAAACAAAGAGCCTATGTGCAGGAACTGTAATTGTTGGGTCGTAACTACATTTCTTGCAACTCAATGACAGTTGTAGTTATGTTTCTGTAGATTTTTAAATAAATATTAACACTATCGGCGGATAAATCGATTAATTGACAGATTAATCCTTACTCGGAGGGTCACCGACTAGCCGATTAACTGGCGGATTCACCTACCAACCCCCTACTCGCTAGCGGACCAAGATTACCAACCTGAACATTGAATTAAATTAATGTTTATTTGGGTCTAATAGAGGCTACAATAAGATTTTGATCTAATTATCAGTCATATACTTAATCTTGGTTCCATGAAATTTTAAAATTTCATTTAGGTTTCAACGTCAAGTATGGAACATGATGATGCTCTTTCAAAATATATATAGTATCACAAAAAGCAAAAAACAGAAACATTCTCTCGACCTATGGCATGAAATAAGTTAAGCATGCCACATTGGTTTCATAGAAATCTCATTATAGTTTCAAAATTCGCATTTCAATCTTTGCTAAAATACCCTGTACACATTGCGTACGGCCAATCAGTAACTAGGACAACATCTCACAGGATTTTTTTGCAGAGCATCATATTGCGGGGCTCCACAGTGACAATGTCTCGCAGGCAACTTCAAAAGCCTGACCGATTTTTCTCATGCGCAGTGGACCAATGGCACACATCCAAATGGATCGTAAATTATATCTTCGGTTCAAAAGATAAAAAGCATCGCAAACTTTGGAATAAAACCCAAAATGACGGGTGGATCAGTGGGAGGAAAGTTGCACCGCGTGAACGGATGTTTCTAGGACTATTATTTAACTAGTATATTCGCTAGAAGGGTGATTTGACCCGAATGCAATGTCTCGGTATGAAGAGATATCAAAGAACCCGGATTTACTCTGCGTTTAATCATTTTGACTTCCCTGGTAGTGGAATCCAAATTAATAATCAACACTATTTTTTTTAGATGGTGAACTAATCTACGCATTTCAGATCTCAACTTTTTTTTTTTGAGGATCCATTTCAGATCTCAACTGAAGTGGCAGATCCAAAACCCCCCCGGCCTGCAAGTGGGCCCCGCTGGTCAGCGCCGGCAGCCCGAGCCCAGCAGGCCTAAACCAAAGCAGGCGCCGAGTCTGGCCCGTCCGACCCCGCATGGCGCCGCCGCCCCGAGGTCGTCCCCGTCTCCCCCCGTAATGGCGGCCACCTCCACCTCGGCCTCCCCCGCCGCCGCCG